TCCTCTAAAACATTCCAGAACTTCTTCTCAAATAAAGTGCACAGACTCTCCGTAGCACATCCTTTATAAGACAATGCTCTGAAGAAAAGGCCTGAAAAAAATTAACCGACATTGTAGTCAGGAACATCAACTAATTCCCCATAAGACTGTCAAACTATTTACTAAGATTGTATTTCTATTATTCTTCTCACTCTTCCTAGTATCTACCTCTTCCCACTTATGACTATAACCTTGTTGCTTGTATCTTTATGTATATGGTTTATTTGTTGCCTAGTATGATTTGATTGCTTATTAGTATCCTATGGCTATCACTAAGTGTTGTATCTTATGATTCTTGATGAATGTATTTCATTTTCCTTCATGTACACTGAGAGCATATGCACCAAAGACAAATTCCTTGTGTGTCCAATCACACTTGGCCAATAAAGAATTCTATTCTATTCTATTCTATTCTATTCTATTCTATTCTATTCTATCCTATCCTATCCTATCCTATTCCCTCTACAGTACCCCATCCTTTAAAAATGGGAAAGGAGAAATTATTGAAAATTGTATTTGGAAAACTAAATGTGGCCAAAGGACTGCTTTTGCAAAGTGTTTCAGGAAGGAAGAGAGGTGGTATTCAGCAGCTTCTGGAGAACCGGTAGCAGAAAATTTGAGTAGTTCGGAGAAACGGCAAATACCTCCTCTGACTGGCCCCGCCAACCCCATCTATTCTATGCCTCCCATTGAGTCCCAGCTGATCAGCTGTGTCTTCTTTGGTTGCCCTGCACAGAGAACAGAGCTGGAGATCAAGTTAGTGGGGAGAGAAGGGATTGGAGATATTACAGTATCCTTCCCCTGCCATGCCCACCAAGCCACGCCCACAGAACCGGTAGTAAAAAAAATTGAATCCCACCACTGGGAAAGACTTAAAGGGGAAGAAAGATGGGAGGAAGAGGAAGAGGAGGAAGAGGAGGGAAGGGGGAAGGATAAGGAGAGGGAGAAACAGGGGAAGAAAATAGACTGGGGCTGTTATCAAGTTTTCCTGCAGCCTGTTCTTACCAAATTCCTTCCCAATTATGGACAAACACTGGTTTTCAGATCCCCGGCAGGAAACCGGGTGTTCAGTGCATTCTTTTGAGGACAATCCAAAGCATCCAGGACACTGAAGTCCGTTGGGTGGGCTGACTTTGTCTCCAAGCACTGTCAAGAACAAGAGTTGAGGAAATGATCAGTGCAATTGCCTAAGAGAAACTGCCTGCTTTATCAGACTGGGTAAGGCTACGCTAGGACGTTGCTCATCCTTTCTCTTTATTTCCCTGGATTTTAAGTTCCCCCAAACCATGGGACAGCTGGCTGATCCCTCAGACTATATTTCCCTGGAGATTTTAGGAAGCCTTCCTGGATTTTAAGCTCCCAGAAAGCTAAAAGGACACCTTCTGGAAGCTTCTGGAAACAAATTCCTTGTGTCATACTTGGCCAATAAATCTGTTCTCCTCTCCTCCCCTCCATTCTGTCCCAGGAAGGTGAACTCAAGACAGATTATCAGACTCTGTTTATAGGATTTCTTCTGCCTAAACAATAGTGTTTTTTCAACCTTGGCGACTTTAGGATGAGAGGACTTCAATTCCCAGAATTCCCCACCCAGCTTGAGCAAGTTTCTTTCAATCCTTAGCAAGAGAACTTTTAAACACAGAGTTAAGGTATAACCCTTCGCTCTGACAAAGTTGAAATCAGAAATGGGCAGCCCTGGAGAGGTTAGATTTCGCCTCCTTCAACGTTGTCTGTTGAGGCTGAGATTGGCTTCCTAGAGCTACATACCAGGCGGTGGCAGAGTTTTACATTCCTCCCCAGTACAGCAGGTTCTTTTGGTCTTCACCGTTAGTTCATTATGTGGACTCGTCTCCAGGTAGTTAAGATGGCAAGTGTCAGAAGTACCACAGGATTTTGAAATCAAAGAGAGGGACACAGGGGCTGCACAGGTGAGAAACAAAGAACAAAGACATTTTATTTGAGATTCAAGGACTCCTCAGTAGGTTTAAAGGCTGAATTGAACTGAGATCAGATACATTCCTATTTGGTATATAAAGAGATAAGATAAGTAAGAAACTCCAACATATTATATTACATATATTACTGCAGCAAGAACAGCCTTTGCCCAGAATTAGAAAAGTGACAGCATTCCCTCGGATACTATGATAATAAAAAAGGGTTTTAGAGTGTGCAGAAGTGGGTAGGCTTTCTATGGCAATGAAGGAGAGAGGAGACAGAGTACTACAAAATTTGGAATTTATGGTATAATTGGCTGCAAAGAAGACACAAAATAGAGAGATGAAATGAAAGGTTATGGTGTGATGTAATAATTTGGTATGAGTACGCATAACTCTGCATACTTGTGTATAAATATATAAATAACTATGAAAATATATGAAAATATGACAGAAATCAAATGTAAAATAATTGTAATAATATTTAGTAATATTCTATACACTTAAGAATATATCAAAGTGAGTGAACACTACTGCAATATGCTGTATGCATTGAATATGCTGCAATGAATGGAAATATGTTTTTAATGGTTTTTTAATTGTAGAATTTGTTTAATGAAGTTTTTAAAATGTTTTTTTAAAAAAGGCTGAATGATCCACTAGATGCAAATGGCAGGTAGTCCTCGACTTATAACCACAGTTGAGCCGCAAATTGATAATATTGAAATATTTCAAATACAAAGCGTCTCCAAACACCAACCAAGATATTCTGAACGTCCACAAGGCTTGAGTGCAAAAACTTCTTTGCTTCCTGCAAAGAACTCCAGTTTCTCAGCTGGCTTTTATCTCTTAAGGGAGGGGCCTTACTCCCGAGTCGCCCGTGCTGCAGCAGCTGCTCTTTCCTTCGAGCAGCCCTGCATGCACACGCACTGGGGCCAGGCTCCTCGGGGACCTCTTCATCACTGCTACCAGCCTCCACAATCTCTGGAGACAGCATTCCACTCCCTGATGGTCCTGGCCCCATCCCTGCAATCACACGCAGGCCCCTCATCTGAATCCTGGCTCTCTGAGACCTCAGCCGCCCACACCTGTTGCCAGAGAACCACAACAGTCTATCTCACGACTCTTAAGATTTCATACCTCTTATCACTTCAGTTTGAAAGGTAACACAAGCATCTTGATTAGCATCACAGGTTTTCGTCCAGGTGTTACATTTCCGGCCCAGCCCAAAACAAATATCACACTCAAGACACATGCCTAGAGGAGGAAGATACAACATTGTTTGTGGATGCTTTCGACAGGAGTGCCTTGCCCTGCCCAGCCCCACCTGTCAAATGGTGATTCATGCCATCATTGCCCCGTCTATCTGTCTTACTTGTCAAGACCTACTTTTGGCAAAAACTCCTAGCTTACATTAAAACGGATGAATAAATTAGGTCTATTATTTGAGGGGCTCCCCTACTTCTTCTACAGGCAGAGATGGGTGAGGGAACAAAAATAAATAAACCTGGGAAGGAGCCATAATTATACAATTCAAGCTCTGCCTAACGCATTCCAAAAAATTTTTAAAAAAATTCTGACAGATTTCAATTTTTTTAAAAAAATAGCTGGAGTTTCAGTCACACGATGGTGGGCACCATCTTGACTTTTCTGAGCCCCTTTTGTGGACCCTCCGAGACCTGCCTGGAGTCCTGCTATCTGAGTCAAGGTTCTTGAATTGCTCCCAAAGTCTTCTCACCTGTAGCTAAGAAAGTGCCAAAGAGGCAACAGAATAAGAGGGACTTCATGGCGGAGAACAAGATGATTGATGCCCAAGGCAAGCTGGATAGAGATATCTGGAAGGGGAGGCAGAAAGAAACAGAATCAGGAACACAATGTAGGCATAAATTTTATCATAGTGCCAGTTTTCAAATAACAATCACAAACCAGTTTCAAGAATCTTTTCCCCGCTTTTAATAGCTTTAAAAACAATAGGAAGAACAGGAAAAAGACAAAACTAGAAACAAACTTCACTCTCAAGAAGGGATTATGTAAGCTCCTGATAATAACTGCATTTTTCTCCATTGCCTGTTTGGCCACTGAAGTCAATGGCTTAGTTATTACCAAGTTGTAAGAAAGTTACCTCATATTAAAAAAAAATCATTACTGGGATCTATAGGACTTGTCTTGGTTGACGTTGGTTGTTTTGGAAGACATTAGGCGTGTGTAGTTTAATGAAAAGAAGGACTAGGGTGACGTGATAGCAATATTGGTGCAGCCCCAATAGCTAAGGGGCTGCCCCAAAGAAGAGGGGGTAGTACTATTCTCCAGTGCACCTCAAGGCAGGAAAAGAACTAGTAGATGAAAACTAATCAAGGAGAGGAGCAACCTAGAACTAAGGAGAAATTTTCTGACAGAACAATTAATCAGTAGAACGACTTGCCTTCAGAAGTTATGGATGCTGCATCATTCAAGGTTGTCAAGAAGAGATTGGACAATGATAGAGTTTCCTGGTTGAGCAGAAGGCTGGACTAGAAGACCTCCACAGCCCCTTCCATCTCTTTTATTCTGTTTTTTTTGCTTCCTCTAAGCTCCTAGATCATCTAAAACTATAGGATGGAGACTCACCATCATCTCCATCTCACACATACACCCATACATAAATTTCCCTGGCTTTCAAGATCAATATTTGGGTAGCGACATAGAATAAACTCCATCCTTATTATCTACACAACAAACAAAGGCTACCCAAGTTCTTCAACTAAGGTCAAGATCAGCCCACCTTGAAGTAAGGTAAAAGGAATCTGCAAGTCTTTGTAGGATTCTCAACCCTTAAGAAGGAAGTAGGCACTTACGTAGAGCTTCAGGAAGCTGCAGCCAGCAATTTTACCTTAGAGGCTACCAGGTGCTATCAGTCAATGGGCACAGCTCCTTCTCCTTTTGTGTTTCCTTTTTGTAGGAGAGCTAGGTGGTTATGTTTTTGGAACCACCTCTCAACCGCCCGTTATGGGGTATATTTACTTTCCACCCAGATAGAGATTTTTTTTTAAAGGTAAACCTTTTGCCAGTCCACTGTCCTTTTCAAGGATAGCCTGAGGCAATC